AAGAGGTGGAATTACAAAGAGACCCCTCGCCGCAATCAAAGGCTAGTGGCATGTGCACCCCCCCTGGCTGGGCATGGACGGGTAGAGCGTCAAGCTAAGAGCCTTTGTTGGGAGTTAGAAGCCCTGACTGGTGCTCCAGAAGCTTAATATCATAACCAGACTTAATGACACGACCATTTCCCAATTTCCCAACACCTATGATGCCAGCTGACATTTGCTTTAATCACATCAGAAAAAATAAATGATGTCACCCTGGCAGCCCTCTCAAAATAGAAAAGGAGCAAATCCATTCCAAAATGGGCCTGGTTCAGTATTACTTAAGTCTTGATGCTTTGGGCATTTTCAAAAGTCTGGCTGAGACACAGTGAGTTAAAATAAGCACTCAGCAGAGAGACGGGGAGTTTGGGTTCCAGGTTCGGCTTTGATACTCAATGTTTGTCCTTGGATGAGTCATAACACTTCTGTGGGCCTTCGTTTCCCTGTCTATAAAATGAGGGTGTGATCCTATAGGAGACCGGGGTACCTTCCAGTACTAACGTTACACAGTCCTCTCAGGGGTCATCTCTAACCTCCCTGCTGTTCTCCAATGTCACTGTCCTCTGGTTACCACTGCACATCCTGCCCTTTGTCCTCACTCCTTCAGTGTGAACTCTTATATAGAAAAATCTGTCCTCTGATTTTTTTTTTTATCAACTTGAAACCAATACCTGTATTTAAGTACTTGCTCAAAGTCCTAGGTTTGAACATGGGCATGGACATGGATATATTAATGCTTCCTAAGTAGAGTGTAAGCTCCTTAGGGAAAAATACCAAGTTTATGTTCCCCCCACACAACTAGCATAGTGGCACATCCCAGGTGGTCAGGTGGGACTTTCCAACCTTCCCTGCAGAAGAAGGGTTGATGTTATTACACGGATGTTCTCCAAACCCCAGGTGACCAGCTGGGCCAGGAACCAGCTACTACCCACAGCCACCCATTCTTGTTAAAGGATACCTTCCTGCAAGGTTGGCTAGGATTGATTTACCTGATTACGGACAGTGCTACCCTGCAGCTCTGAATACTCTTGAATAAGTAAATACCTGTTTCCAAAGAACTTTTAAAATTGCACAGGCTTTGTGAAGACAATGAGAAATTTGTTTTTTTTTTATTTTCTCTCCAGAAATATAGAAATACCTCTCTACAAAGATACAATGAGGCTCACTGGCCCAGAAGTACAAAATATTGCCATTTCAAGCAATCTCCTCTGTTACCAAGCATATACACTGAGTGACCAGATTACTATGTCTCTGAACACATTATAATCTGACCACTCAGTGTATATCCTATATAATAAAAGGCTAATATGCAAATTGTCCCATTAACCAGGAGTTCGACCAGCCGCCCATATCCCCTTCCCCTGGCCAGGCTGGCCAGACCCCACCTATGCACAAATTCATGCATTGGTACACACACACACACACACACACACACACACACACACACACATTGAGTGGCCAGATTATTATGTGTTCAGAGATCATAATAATCTGGCCACTCAGTGTATATATCTTCTACAATTGAAGTTCATTCTGGCTAAAGATGGTCTCAGGGCAAAATCGGCCCTCAGAGTCTTTTATTTCAGTTTAAAGAAAGAATTTTAAAGTTGAGGGGAAAATCCATAGTCAAGAAACTCAAGTGAATATTAAATACTAGATGTTTGCTTTAAAAACAAACAAACAAAAAAAACCCACAAATCTATCACCTGTGTCTCATAGTCCCTGACATGAAAGTCAATTTTGAGTGGTATGGAAAACAACCCTACCTTCTCCCACAAATGGGCTGTGAGGGCTCATCTGGAGGGGTTTCATAGCGGGGGCACAGTTCCTGGTAGGTTCCCTGGCCAAGCAGTTCCCATATCTGAAAGGTCACCTCTTTGGTGGAAGGCTCAGCTCTGTGAGGAAGGGTAAGGAGGGAAGGGGCATGGCCCAGTCCAGCCAGGCAGATCTAGTCAAATCCACCCGGTTTCAATGGTGTGGCTGAGGGCAGCTGCCTTGTGCTGCATCCCCATTCCAGAGAGTTGGGGGTGGACATGGCAGGGGGACTGGACCCTGTGGACACTGAGGGCAAGGGCCATCGTCGATCTCTCAAACCAAGGGCTCCACTGTCCTTCTTGGACAAGACTCTTTCTGTCCTTTTTTATGCACAGAAAGAATGATTATTTGAGCTTTGAATACAGAAACTGTTAGGACAGGCCAAATGAAGGCTTAAGAAAACGAAGACTTTGTTATTTTATGTTTACAAGTTTAAAGCAGTTTCATTGTATTTTCATTTAAAGTGGTTAATTTGATCTCATTGCTTTTTTTTTCCCTTCTGGTAGTCCAAAAAATTTCATATTAAAAATCAACTTTACCCTCACATATACTCACAAAAATATGAACAAAGATATATGTATAAGGACATTAACAGAGGCACTATTTTTCATGCTTAAAAAAAAAAAGGAACAAAACCATGCATTCACAATAGCAGACTAATTAAATCAGCCATTATGCATCCATACCATGGAATACCACCCAGAAATCAAGAGGAATGACATAATTGTTTTGTGCATAAGAGATACTTACAATATACTATGTTAAAACAAAAACAAACTCCACACACAAGTAGCAGGATAACATGTGTCATGATTCCATTTGGGAAAACAAAGTAGCTCTATGTATAAAGTATATATGGTTATGGGGTAGGTATGCCTGGAGAGGAGGGAGACTTTTCACACACACAATTCTACACGTTAATTTTCTTACAAGTATGTACTAGTGATAGTTTCACCCTGGTCTTCAGGTGACAGCATTGGATTAACCATAACACATTATCATTACTGATCCATGGATGGCCCACTTCTACTAAAGCTCGTTTACCAGTTCTGTTTAATAATAAAGTATCCTTGAGCCCACCACCAAAACAAAAGTTAGATCCTTGGCTATAACCTAGATCTAACCAGATGATCCTATCATCAAACTGTCTTCTACCACCCCAAATCTTATGTCCATTATTCCTTATAGATTTAATAAAATACAACAAATAAATAAATGCAAACAATTAATTTGTTTATCTCTTTAAATTCACTGCTCTTGAGTCAAACAGAAATATCACAACATTTAATTCTAAGCTTTTCTCGGCACACAGGGGAACCCCATAAGCTATTTCTCCAGTTGTGTAATGTTAGTCACCCAGGTGGCCATAACGGACCAAGGCACTCACTTCCCTCCAGGAAACACCAGAATCCAAGGGAAAACAATTCTTCATTAGCTATCATTTCCCTAAGATCAAAGTAAATCAGGGGCTGATTTAATTCTGCTCTCGATACATATTTGGAAAATGTCTAGTTGAGCAGAGCAGGCTTTCCCTCTAGGTAGCATGTAAGCATTTAGCAACAGTGAATGATAATCTCTTTAATATTCAGGGTTTCTTAGCCTCTCACCGAATGGAGACAGCTTTGATTACTCCATTTTAAGGGACACCACATAAAGAAGAGTGCCACGGGGCAGAGAAAGTATGAAATGAAGTCAGTCTCTAAAACGGAACTCAATTTAGAAACCTTCCTTCCAGCGTGTTGTAGTTTATCAATTTTTATGTCCTTTCATTCCATAAATGTCAGTACTCCATTTATAACTAAATCCAACATGCTTTTTTAGGGTAATACATGGCATTGTTACGTTTACTTTTTTTTTTTTTAGTTTGTATTGCATCCATAACACTGACAAGGAAATGCTTTTCTAAGTACAATGACTTTTAAAGTATTAGCTTATCGGAACACCTACAACTTGTGAAAACCAGTGTCAACTCTTTGCAAGCAGCATGTGTGACTCACTCTAGTGTGACATAGCATTTTACAAAAAGAAGGTTCTCCAACTTAAATCACAGAAGCACAGCAATATCACCAGTTCCTCTGGGTTTCCTAATGTCTGCTTCTTCCAAATAAAAAAATGTAATTGGATGGATTCTCGGCAATCAACCGACATTTAATTATGGTAGGCGGAAAAATCCAAAATGGCAAAGAAGCCAAAAGCATTTTGCGCATACTTTACACTTGAATGAGACAGCATCTCATGTTCTTGACTTTATTACATGGAGACAGTCAAGAAGGAAGGCTCCCCAGCCCAGCTTTCTGCCCGCCCATTCAACTCCCCCGCTCACTAGTGAGTGTGGGAAAAGGCACCCACCACAGAAACAAGACATCTCTCCTTAAAAACATTACCTAGCCAAAACCGGTTTGGCTCAGTGGATAGGGCATTGATCTGTGGACTAAAAGGTCCCAGGTTTGGCCGAAACCGGTTTGGCTCAGTGGTAGACTGAAAGGTCCCAGGTTCGATTCCGGTCAAGGGCATGTACATTGGTTGCGGGCACATCCCTGGTAGGGGGTATGCAAGAGGCAGTTGGTCGGTGTTTCTCTCTCATCGACGTTTCTAGCTCTCTTTCCCTCTCTCCTCCTCTCTGTAAAAAATCAATAAAATATATTTTAAAAAAAAAAAAAGGTCCCAGGTTTGATTCCGGTCAAGGGCATGTACTTTGGTTGTGGGCATATCCCCAGTAGGGGGTGTGCAGGAGGCAGCTGATCGATGATTCTCTCTCATTGATGTTTCTAACTCTCTATCCCTTTCTCTTCCTCTCTGTAAAAAATCAATAAAATATATTTTTAAAAAAAGAAAATAAAAAATATTAATTTGAAAAAAAACATTATCTATTATTATATATTACATATTATCTATATTTTACAGTTTCCAAGGTGAGAAAAAAATAGGTATTTTGACTTTCAGGTTGCTGACTATCCATCCACAGGGAGGGTAAATAATATTAAAAACCTTATCCTCCCCCCTCCCCCCCCATTCCACAACATGGATGAGAAATGCAGCCCAGGTACCACCTGCAAGGAACAGCGCCAAACCTTGCCTAACACTGGCTCGTGATCTGGGGGTGGGTGCCCAGCGCAAAAGGGTGAGCATCCTGTTCCAGCACCACTTACTCTTCTTTCCTGAGCAGCTCCTCCTCCGATTCTGTCAGGCGCTGCCTCAGCCCCGCGATCATCTCCACGGCCACGTCCACCTGTCTGTTCAGGGCCCGCTCTCGCCTCTGCACTTCCTGCTTTTTCTGAGTCAGCTGGACGAAAGCGGCCCGGACTTCCAACAGTTCTGCCGTTTTCTGGGCCAGCTCTTTGGTGAGTTTGTCGATCCTCTTCTCGATGGTCCTGTCCACGGCCTCGACCATCCGATTGAATTTTTCTCGGACGTGGGCCTCGAAAGCAGCTTTGGTGTTGGAGGTGGGGAACCCGGGACTGGCCCTGGGCTCATCCAGCGGGTCGTCACATAGATCCACTGCAGTGTAGGTCTGCACGTAGGACACGGGCCTCTCGGCCACCACCTCAAAGGGCTTCCTGTCCTTGCAGTGTTCGTGGGCAATGCTGTACAGGTTAACATAGCTAGGTTTCTGCTTCACCACGCTGCCGCAGCTCTGCAGTTTCCCCAGTTTCAGGGGCTCCGAGGAAGTGACTAGATCTGTGTCTTTGAGGGACGGAAAGAGGCTGCATTTCGTCAGGAGGGTTCTTTCCTGGTAGCTGTGACTGAATTCCAGATGGGCCTTCAGTGATGACAAGCTTCTAAATCTGGTATGGTCTCCGCACCTCGGGCAGCGGAACGGCAAGCACACAGCAACATTCTCAAAGGACTCCTGCCAGGGGTATCTGCTTTCTTCAAAGGCCTTCTGTTGCATTACTCTAAAAGTCCTGGGCAGAGGAACAGAAAGCAGGGAGTTACCATGTCTGTTTGCAAAATGCTACTGAAATGACTGTTGTCGCTCATCTCCTTGGAGGTAGAGGTTTTGGTTTCAAATAACCTTTGCATGTAATCCTATATAATAAAAGCCTAATATGCAAAATGGCGGGACAACTGGTTGGCAATGGGGCGGACAGGGCCAGCGAGTAGGTAGTGCCAGGCCAGCCAAGGCAGGTGCCAGCGGGCAGAGGGGGGGGGCAGCGGTTGGGGGTCAGCAGTGTGACCAGCAGAGGGCAATGGGCAGAGACAGGGCCAGCCACTCAACCACCGGAGCTGTACCCTAACCTGCCAGCCAGTCGCCTCCCGCAGAGGGAGGCCAGAGTGTGGCTTAGACCCCTGAATGGCTCCCTGACTGCAAGAGGGCACAGGCTGGGCTGAGGGACCCCCGCGTATACAAATGTTTGTGCATCGGGCCACTAGTATCTTATAAAATTAAAACCTATAATCCTTGGGCCAACTTCACTCATTGGGCCAAATGAGTCATATCCACTCATTTCTGTATCATCTACCGCTGCTTTTGTACTGTGACCTGCAATGCCCAAAATATGTACTATCTGGGCTTGATAGAAAAAGTATGCCAACCCCTGGCTAAAAGGACCAGTAACATCCCCTTTTTACAGATGAGAAAACTGGAGCAAGGAGGTAAAGAAATTCATTCAAGGCCAGATGGAAAATGGCAGATCCAGATGTAGATTCAAATTTCCTGAATTTAGGACATTAACTGCAAAATCATGTCCTGCTTTACTAACAGCCTGATAAGCACAAATAGAAAAAAAAAAAAAAAACAAGGAAAAGTCAGCATGAATTGTCAAAGCTAATCCTTCAAGAATAGGAAAGATGTCACTCAAATGAGGTACTGTGGCACTGAGCACACAATCAGCTGAAAAGTGTTCAACCTGCAATGTTTGCCCTTAATTTTGTCCTTTAATTATTGCTGTGATAACATAAAGTGTTTCCATAACAACAATGGCCCTCCCTACTCGATGTACTAAAATTTGGGAACCCAAAGTGTCAAATACTTTTTGATCTAAGTGGGGCCACGGCCAAGACTTTATTAAAATAGGATGTACTGGATGGATCTGTCTTGTCTCTGATCCTATTTTGAGGATCTACCTCTAGACATGAAAGACAATCACTAGAGTTGACCAATGTTTGAACCAGGTGGGCATCTTTTGATAACTGGATGTTCTTAGTTCCTTGTAGGAATTTCTTATCTAAGCCCTAGCAACAGATGACTGCCATAGCAAGCTAATTCTGCAAGCAGCACAATATCTATTTCCTCCAGGAATGATTTCTAGTTAAACACAGGAAGCACTGGGCCCCCCAAAGAGGAAGTTCAGCGAAGGGTCTAGGCTGAAAAGTGCTGTTCCTGGGCCCTCAGCCTCTTCAACAGCAGAGGTGCAGAGTTGCAAATGGTCCACTGGCACAGTTTTCTGGGATGGGATGCAAATGCCGGCCCAATAGGCAGGCGAAAGGTGAAGGAAGGGGAAGTCAGAATGCCTGGGGGCAAAGGGAAAAGGGTGGCATTCTGCAGGGGAAATAGGTAATCATGCACTCCGGGTCTATCTACACTTTCCAGGGCCCAGCGGAAATCCCAGTCCACAGGGTTAGCAGAAAAGCCCTCATTTCCCATCTGCCTAAACCTAGCAGGCAAGGACCCAGCCTCCAGGGTCCTGGGCTCTCCCTGTGCCCGCCTCCCAGCATTGCCAGCCCCTGGTGGCAAAGTGGACCCGTGAGCACACGAGTTCCTGCAGGTGGGGGGTTGAGAAGCCCGGGACCTCCTTCCAAGCCCGGCCAGTCTCCTCACCCCCGAGCCTGGCTGCAGGCGCAGAGGCCCCGCAACCACCACTTACCCGACTTGTTGCTGCAGCTGCAGCCTCCGCCGCCGCCGCTGCTGCTGCTGCTGCTGCTGCTGCGGCCGCCGAGGCCGGTGCTATGCGGGAGGAGCGGTTTTCGGCAGAGCCGTAAATCAGCCGCCGCTGGCTGCCACCCGCGCGCACCCGGGCGCCGGGCCCCGCGTCCAGGGCGGAGCGTGGCGCGTGGCTGCGGGGACCCCGCGCGGAGAGCCAGCGCTCCCGGAGCGCCGCGGTGGCCGGTGACACCCCGCTCTGCCCAGCCGCTGGGAGCACCGCCTCCCCCCACCCCCTGGAGCTGGCTCGGACCAGGTTTCCGTGGGGAGAGATGCCCAGATCGCTCCCCAGGAGAGGGAAGGGGTGGGGGTGGGGAGAGAGCGTGCAGGCCTCCCAGGCGCTGAGCTTTCTGCAGGCCCTGGCAAGCTTTTTGCATTTGACAGTTCTTGTGGGGCGGGAGAGGGTGGATGAGGGAGAGGCATGGCTGGGTATCCTTCTGGATAACATGCTGGCAGGAAGGTCTGGGTATTTATTTATGGGTGTTTCTATAATATTAGGACCACTTCATCCTAAGCAACAGGGAGAGGATGTCCCAAAATGACTAACCCAGAGGGTCTATGCTAGCCTTCCTAGCCCTGGGTCCTCGCGCTAAGCCAGCCGGCAGAACCACATCCAGTGAGGTGTTTGGATTGTGTCTCAATAAAGCAACAAGACCCCCCCAGCATGACTCACCCCTACCCGAGGGACATGCCCCTTCTTCCACAGAAGCTAAGATGTATCCTAAAGAGAGGCTTCTTCCCTCCTGGAGGATCCGAATGACTCAGCTTATTCTTTTCTTTTTTTAATTGGGATATTTCTAATCTAACTCTTGAAATAGGAAACCAGTATGAAAGTTATTGTTGGGCTTTCTTGTCAAATTGAGAGATTATTTCTCTGTAGACAGTTACTTAAATGCATCTTCTTGACTCCTCAGGGTGTTTCGGATCTCACTTTACTATTACATTTCAACACTGATTTTTTTTTTTTTAAACAACTTACTGATTTTTTTTTTAAACAACTTAATCATCACATTAATGTATTAAGAGGCCAGGCTCTGGAGTCTGCCTTGATTTAAACCCTAATTGGAGGATTCAAATCCTGGCTCTAGGACCTGCATCAAATTCCTGGGACTCTTCCTCTATGAAATGGAGATAATTAGGACCAACCTCTTATTAGGGTGCTGGGGTTAAAGCACTTTCTCACCCAGACGTACACTGAGTAAATAAGCTATCATTTTCATTTCCATTTTTATTAACATTATTACCACAAGAAAGTGGTCTACACACCTAAGAAAAAACAGAAAGGTCCAGGGGAGCTATCGTGCTCATTTCCACAGAAAGCATGATAGATGATTGCTGTGGGGTGTGTTGTCTTTGAAAAGATTGTATTTCATTGAATTTATCTCATGACTCTCAAAAATATGTTCATTCCAAAAATCAATGTATTCAGTAAGAAAATTTTGCATGTGCAAGATACATGTAATGGATGGACAGATCATCTTGCTCATCTAGCCCATGTAGGGAGAATACAGGGAAAGCCACTCTCAGGGGCTGTCTGGCATCTGCCTGCCTTTGGGCAAAGTGGGCCAAAAGTATGTCCTGAAGAGGAGAAACCTTGGGTTCAGGCTTCTCCCATTTCTCAGGTGAAATTGTCACTTTCCCTGATCCTTGAGTTCATCTCTTGTGTAAATAAAAGGATGTGGGTTTTCAAAGGCCCTTTCTCCCCCTAAAAGTATAAAGAACATGTATTATCAAATCATTAAGGGGTTATTCTGTACAGGGTCTAGAGCTGAGCACTGTGGGAGTTTCAATTTTGATGGATAGGCATTTGGGACCTTACAATTACACTAATTCTCAAATTCCAAATCTCCCACCCTTGCCTGTTCCTTCCCTTGCCCTCACCATTCCCCCCACCCTTATATTCCAGCAGCATGAACATAACCTGGCAATGTGTTAGCACAGAATTGCAGATGTGTCTACCTCAAGCCAGATCTACTGAGTCAGAAGCAATCTGTGATTCAGAAAGCCCTCCAGGGGATTCTGGTGGACACTGATGTGAGAACCTCTGGTTTACACAGCACTTCTTCATACATCATCTACAACAAGCCAGAAGCTGTCTTATGTCCATCATTATTATATTTCTTTGTGCTGGGCACTGTGCTAAGCACTTTGCTGTCTCATTTAATCCTCTCATCACCTGTGTACTCAGCTATAGCCACATGGGTATCCATGTACTTCTTCAAAAGAGTCCAGCTTCTTCCCATCTCAGGTCCTTCTTTTCCAGGCAGCCCCTCCTCCTCCCTCAGGGCTCAATCTCCCCTCTCTCAGGAGGTTCTTCCCTGACACTCCCAGGCTAGGTTCACTCCTACTGTTAAATTTACCACAGCTTGCTGCAATGGAATTCGTTATTTGTGTAGTTACCCATTTAATATTTCTGTCCACTATTAAACACTAAGCTACACAAGTCAGGGACCCTGTCTATCTTATTCTCCAGTGTATTTCTAGTACCTCGTATACTGTTGGTCACCTAGAAAGTACTCAGTAAATGTTTATTGAAGGGTTGGATGTTGGACAAATGAATGCCCATTTCTATGTAAGAGGAAGTTGAGGCTCAAAGAAGTTAAGTTACTTTCCTGAGATCACACACTTAGAATTGAGAATATGAGAGCTAGAACTCTAATAGTAAAGAATAGGTTCGGATTAGATCATGTCTTCTAACATGTATGCTCTTCTCCACCGCATTATATGCTTTATCCTGCCCTCCAGGAACTTAGAACTAGTGGCATAGGACCAGGCAAACGTATTGGACAAATTAAATTCATAGTAAAATAAATGTAGCAGGACATATGTCCAGAATTTGATACATAGTAGGTGTTCGATAAGTGCTGACCGAAAGAATAATGATCATAGCTCCCACCTTTTGAATATTTACAATAAATTTTTTCTACTAAGCATTTACAAGCATATGCAGTGTTTCTTGACATCTGCAAACCTTGTTAAAATGCAGATACCTGGAATTTTGATCAAATGGACTGGAGTCTATGGGTATG